TGGGATTTGAACCGCTGAACTGCTGATCTAGCAGTAGCTTGCAGTGCTGCATTTAACCACTGCGCCACCTTGGCTCATAAGGAAGGAAGGACTCCCTGGAGAAGAGCCTCATGCTGGGAACGATGGAGGGCAAAAGAAGAAGAGGACGACAGAGAATTAGGAGGCTGGATGGAGTCACTGAAGCAGCAGGCGTGAGCTTAAATGGACTCCAGAGGATGGCAGAGGACAGGTAGGCCTGGAGGAACGTTGTCCATGGGGTCGCGATGGGTCAGACACGACTTCGCAACTAACAACAACAAAAGAGTCGAGCTTTTTAGCAGCTCCAATCAGCCAAAAGTTTCTCTTAAAACTTCCCAAACAGTGAATTCTTGCCGTGTGAATTTCTTCCCACCTGGTTGAAAACGGGACCACTGTGAGGATCCTCCGAAGAAGAAGGATTTTTGCATGGGACAACTTCTGCGCTGGCTGTGATCTGAAGTCTTACGAGATCTGCTTGCGGTGAGTCAGGGGTGGGAGTGTGACTTCTCCACCGAGGGCAGCTCTCCATCCACAGTCACCAGACTAACCAAGAGTGGAAACTCACCCACGGATTCAATGGTTGCCCTCTTAGAGGACTTGACATCCAATAAAGTCTCGTAGGTCAAGTTCTGAAGCCAGAACTCTTGGTTAAATGGGGATTCGGGCTGCCTTTTGGCCAGATCCCAGCAACTGGACCAGATGCATGGAGGGGCACTCCAGGTGTCGCTTGGTCCTTGGCTGCTTTTGATCACCAACACCCGGGAGTATTCCACCTCACTCCAAGCGGCCAGGGATTTCTGGAGATGCTGGCCTTCGGTTTCCCGTGACACCGTCCCGTTTTTGCTCACGGGGACGATCTTCTGCAAAGCCTTGGGAGACTCCCCCGGCCATGGCGGCTTTCCGAGGAAGAGTTCCGGATCCTCAGGTTGAGAAGGAAACACCTGGATGAGGTCACTGATGGTCACTCCAAGGTAAGCCTGGCTCCATTTCTCATTGCCATGAGAAGTGAAGTCCTAACGGGTGGAGATTGGGGAGGAGAGGAGGGCAGGGCAGGGGAGAAGAAGAGAGGGAAAAGAGAGGAGGGGAGGGGGGAGAAGGGGAAGGAAGGGAGGGGAGAGAAGAAAGGAGGGGAGAGGAGGGCAGGAGGGAAGGGATGTGATGGGAGAAGAGGAAGGAAGGGGAGGGGAAGAGGGTAAGGAAGAAAAGAGGTGAGAAGGGGAGGGATGGGATGGGAGGAGGACAGGGGAGAGGTGAGGTGGGGAGGGGATGGGATGTGATGGGAGAAGAGGAAGGAAGGGGAGGGGAAGAGGGTAAGGAAGAAAAGAGGTGAGAAGGGGAGGGATGGGATGGGAGGAGGACAGGGGAGAGGTGAGGTGGGGAGGGGATGGGATGTGATGGGAGAAGAGGAAGGAAGGGGAGGGGAAGAGGGTAAGGAAGAAAAGAGGTGAGAAGGGGAGGGATGGGATGGGAGGAGGACAGGGGAGAGGTGAGGGGGGGAGGGGATGGGATGTGATGGGAGAAGAGGAAGGAAGGGGAGGGGAAGAGGGTAAGGAAGAAAAGAGGAGAGAAGGGGAGGGATGGGATGGGAGGAGGACAGGGGAGAGGTGAGGGGGGGAGGGGATG